TACATAATTAAAATTATTATATTATAAATAAATCGTGTAAATTAACGTAATTATTATTAAACCAGCAAACAATTAATTATATTTATATTGACAATAATATTTATTCTAACAGTCACAAAAGTACCTACCGACTATAAGACGCACTTTTTATATAGAAGGTATCATTAAATTTTTTTTTTCAATAAATTTTCTCTAAATTTGAAACTAAAACAAAAAAGACTTTCATATATCGTGAGGTATAAACTAGATGTGATCAATTATGCAAAACAATATGGAAACAGAGCAGCAGAAAGACATTTTAAAGAAAATGGTTCGAGAATGGAGAAAACAAGAGGAATACTTAAAACTGTTAAGTAAGACAATAAAACATTCCGTTTGCACTTAGAAAAAATAGACTCAAATTTTGGGTGCATCTTATGGTATATTTTTTTTCAATAAATCGTCTCTAAATGCGTCTTATCGTACGGTGCGTCTTATAGCCCGAAAATATACTGTAAATACAAATGATAAATAAACCTTTACTGACCATATTTCTTTCATATTTTCATTATTATCATACTAAATAATAATAACATTTATTGCAAAAGGCTAACGACCATAGGTCTACAATACTATTATTACTAATCTTGTATCTAAGCAACAACTAGAAATGCAAAATATTTGATTTACTAATAAAGTTGGTAGTTTTATTTAGCATTAGTCATTAAATATATTCATATCAAAATGTAAATAGTTGTTAGTTTACTGTCATATTATGAAATGACGTTATTTTTGCAATGTGCTGTTATTTTAATATTAATAAATTAGTTTCTAGTAAACAAGCTGAGTGACTAATTTATAAAGAGAATTGTGAACAGCTGTGCACAATATTACACTAATAAAGTATTATAAATTATAGTAGTTACTTAATTGGCTATGTAAGTAGTAAAATTTAATTAGTTTACATATGTCACTTGTTCAGCAGCTTATACATATTTTATTAGTGCATTAATTTTATATTTATTAATTAATTGTATTCTAATTAACAAAACACAAATTATAATATATAGTTTTGTTTATTATTTATATCGTACAAGAATACCTCAGATAGTGCGGCTTCGATCAATACAGTTTGATTACAGTACGGTTTGAAAATTTTAAAACCAATAAATTTTCATTAAAAAAATGTTAATAACTTCTATTTATACAGTCAAGTTTCTTATTGTTCCTCGACTAGTCCGGTTTGAAACAATTCAGAATATTAATTCTTCAATACATTCAGTATAGTTTTCTGTTTAATTAATGGATAATTTATATAAGTTGTCTTATTAAAATACAGATTATCTATATAATTCAATATGTTTTTATATAATCCGTTCAAAGACTATTCGAATTGTTCGTTAATCAATCGATATATGAAGCGTGTTAAGCTTTATATCAGCACTAGAAATAACTCTAGTTGACGCTAATCAGTCAGTAAGGTGTTCATTATCCCAAAATGTGTTGGTTGTCCGAACCTTTTTACGAGTGTTAGTTGTCCGATTTGTTCGTAATCCGAACTGTTCGTTAACTGATCACCCATTGTATTGCCTTTACTCAATTCTATTGAATCTAATTCCATAAAATGATGTGTTTTTATATTGAATGCTGGCATATTATAATTAGTATTAACAATTAAACAGCGCACATCTCTAAAGTGATGAATAAGTGATATTTTACTCGAAACATAAAACTTTTAAGAAAATTGGAAAGTAAATCTAAGGAACATAGAAACTTACTATGACGAAGAATCTTAATGAGAAATAAGTTACTACCATTAATTTAATGGTATTTCCTTTTACATCTAACAGCAAATGTAAAATCGTGATGCCCCGAACATCAGCTCTTTGGAATTGGGCCATGACTAATATAAAATATATATAAAACGGATTCAAAATTCTTCACACCTAATTTAATTACGTGTTTATTTTAAACACAACAGATATTCCACAAAATTTGTTTCGGCTATGGCAATTTAAAGTCGTCCGCATTTGGTATTGCGTAAAATTGTCTATCACAACTGTAATAAATAATAAAAAAAAAAATACAAAAAGAAAATAGTTCCAAGAAGCAATTTCCATTTCGCAATCATTCCGACAATGGCGATACCTGCTGGTTGTTGTTCATTTTGTGATTGTAGTTTCTTAATAACAAAACTCTGGACGAATGAAAGATTACGAAATCGCTCTAGCTGTAATAATAATGCTATACGACGAAAGATATTCAGTATGATGATGATGACGGTGGCCAACAAAAGAGGATTGTGGCCATCGATGGTGGCTGTTGCACAACTGCGGACGCGGCATGTGGAAACCAAAAAGTTCTGCATTGTGTTTCGATGATCTTATTTTTACTGGTTTTTGTACCGTGCCTCATCCACAGAGGAAGTTCCAGTCGGCCTGTTCCGGGGCTCTGCACACTCGGCATTACTTCATAAATCCATTCAATTACGACCGACCATCACAACAACAAAAAAATGTATATATAAAAAAAGCGCGTTGCTCTGACGTAACGTAATCATACCAGAAATATTTGCATTCGTTTACGGTGAAATGTTTCGTTTCCAAATTGAAGAGGAAATGTTAAATAGTTAATGATGGAGAAGTTATCAGGTTAGGCTAGACGCAATCAAGCGTGGAATCGATAGTTATTTAGATAATGCACACAAATATGCGAACTTTGACCTGGGCATGTCCGTGTATGCGCCACGATTTCTTCGAGTCGCGACAAGATCTATGTCAATGTCAATGTCGGCAGTCTCAAACAAATTTGTATAGAAGCTTTGGTGATTAACAACTGATGTCTATGTTAATTAATTTGATGTTAAAATAACATTGAAATTTCACACTGCGTTATGTAAATTAATTTATTATAATGCATAATGCAGTTTATGTATCCAAAAATAACTTGTATGTAAGATTAACCTGAATTGAAATTTTAGAAACAGAAAAAATAAAATAAAGTACCGAATATAAAGATATACTTCAAAATATATCTTAAAAATTTAAGATTTTTAAACAAAGAACTTATTTAAACCAAATTTTCTTCAATTGTAAGGTGATTACAAAATATTTTAATGTAGTGTTTCTCAACTTTTGTTTGTAGTTGTGCTGCAGCCCAATTGCTGACAGTTTTTCACCAGTTTCTGACAAACATTTTTTTTTTTTTTAATATGAACACTTCACTCATTTTATTGAAAAATATACTCAACACATTTTTGGTACGGTAATTACAATACTTAAAAAAAGGTAATCAATTTTTTAATTAACACCGTTATATTAAACGTTCTTTTGACATCTTAATTCAATTTGCAAGTAGTTCTCCAAGAGCAATATTTATAATTACACAAATTATATATTCAGTAATTACGTCCGGTGATAAAAAAACGCTTTAAGTCCAAGTCAATAGATGTCTTGAAGATGTTGAATGGAATAACAATACACCGGAAATCATTTTAGTCTTTCCCTTCAAATCACATTTAAATTGGTCATTTTATTGAAGCAAAAAATACTTATACCAGTTTTTCTTAATTAATTTACTAATTGTCATATTGATATTTTTAAATTATCTCGATTTTATTGTAACAAAGAGTGAAAAAAGAGATCGAACAAAGTAGTGAAAATATAAGTAAATAATAAAACAAAATGTATTTATTTGTTTTTTTTCTATCAAATATTTTAATTATTACTTTAAATAAGACTGAAAGACTGCGGCTAATAACCCTTTGTATGTATACAATCAATTTTGTTTATTATTATTTTAAATATTATTCAATTTCGAATGTTAAATTTGAGTGATGGAAACCACGAAAACGTACTTTGTTCATGTCAATAACAATATAAAGTTAGCGCTCAATTAACGTACATAATACTTCGTAAATTATGTGCGTGATTTGAGTTTCCATGTAATTGCGCTGTTTATACGAACGTACACTTTGTTGACGATTGACAAATCTAGTATAAAACACAGTATAAATGTAATGTCTTAACTTCTCGGTAAATGCACACTACTATTATCAATAGTAGTAATAACATTGAATTATGTAATAGAACCATTTATAATTTTAAGACATCCTTTATATTTCGTGCTGGAAGCAGTGAACAAGATTACACAACAGTCCTATTACTTGGGTGATTCTGAAAACCCGGTTGCGCAGCTTTCGTTTTCAACGAGAGGTAGATTTTTGTGCACATAATTGGGGCGACCAGTTTTGAAAACGGGTTGGGTAGAAAAACCATTTTTTTCTCCTCACACACATATTTTTTTTATTGCCGCATTTCATCACACGGGGAGGGTTGCACGTACGAAAGGCATAGCGAATAAGAACTTGAGGTGAAAAAAAAAGGCGACCGTCGAGTTGTTTTGAGGTGGATGACCAAAGCCATTGCCACCAGAGCAGGTAGGTCAAATCAAACACGCGGTCGCCTCTGGTACGAGTCCAACCATGCACATTCCACGTCCATCCAGCTTCTTCGGCTCTTCCAACAGCCCAGGGCCGTTGCAACACTTATTCCTCGTCGTTTAACACACGGCTATTACACGAACAGGTCTTTCGATTTGTTTCAAATTTAGTAACACGCATATCGAAAATGTCCATATTATAATTGCTTTATTTTTGTTTGTTTATTATTGCAACTAAAGAAAATGGAAAGTTAAATCAACTTGACAACTATTACAACTTAGAGAAGAGCAAAAAATAACTGGTTCTACTTTTTTGCAGCTTCTTTCTATCGAGTTCAATTAATTGGCGTTTTGTTCCGTGAAAGTGTAGATAATATGGCATTTCACTGGGAAACGTATCAGACATTTATTTGTTTTTGTCGCCGATCCTAAAACATCTGTCGCGTCTTTCTATATATGTATGTTTTGTATGTATGTACGTATGGTACACATGCGGTTTTGCTTCTTCTTGCCCGGAGACAGCACCACACCACGACGAAGAATGTATTATTGAAATAACACGAGTTCCGTTCGTTTTGCAGATGAGAATCCAGTTTGTCGAGGCTGTACCGCAAATATTTGTATACCCCTCAGAGGCTGCGATGCTTCTCCTCGAGCAGCAGGACGTTCAATCCCCAACGGCGATTGGCACCATGGGACACACCGTGCCATCTCTGACAGGTAAATATATCCATCTGGAAAGGTCGAAATCCGCTCTCGATCAGTTCTAATTAGGCGCATTGATCGAATCCGAGGATTAATGCTTTCTAAACGCGTTTTATGTAACGCGAATGTTATGGGACTCGAAGATATTCTGGGTTTGGGTTTCGAAGAGCCTCGTCATTTCGTGTAATGGAGCGTTTAATAATCATCATCGTGGAACATGTTGCAAGCAGCTAATGTATGCCATACGATCCGGGATCATTTTAATTAATTCCGCGTAAAATTTCGAATCGTACGCTCATCTCGACTTTTCAATTCGTATATCGTTGCATAATCGGCGCACATCATTAAGAATGCAGTTTTTAAAGTTTAAATCTAGCTATATCGATTAGATCATACCTGTTTCGAATCATAAATTTTATTAATTATCTATTTAATCTGATTGCTCGCTTTGATTGCTGTTTAAATGCATTTATGTCCGGTATTACTATACATTTCAAATTATTAATATTTAAACACAGGAATAAAAATCAACTATTTTAAACAAAAAATGAACATAATATTGCTACTTAACGCATATTGAAATTTTAACTAAGTAAATCTTGAAAATGATCAATTTCTCTATGAAGATTTCACTGTATTAAGTTTTCCGTGTAAACAATTATTAAAATTTCCTAGTATATGTTTATATAATATAATCAAGTATTTTTTTTTTCACTTCCAAATGTCAACATTCACTTCCAAGGAAATCCACAAAGTATAAATTGCAAAAAAAAACTACAATATAACTTTTATTGATACTTGGAATTAACAAAAATATATCTAATAAAATAAAAGTATGTAATTTCTTATAAAATAGAAGAAAATATAATAATAGCAATATTTAAAAATGTATGTACAATCTTTTCATCTGATGCAAACTGATTTATGAATGGTTCAAGAAAATAACAAACCTTTTACTGATTTAATAATAATAAGTTCAGGAAACTTTATTTATGTTCTTTGAAATCTGGGTTTAGATATCGATGGTTTCATTATAAAAAATAAATTAAAAAGATTGATGATCTATCAGTGTCATCACAAACAAGAACATCTATAAAAAAATCTCTCAAATGTAACAGATGTGCTCGATACTATCCCGGTATTTTTTATACAAGTTTCTTTTTGAAAGATGCAGTAAATCACATCACAAACATTTATGATACACACAAATCTCTAAACCAAAACAGATGTGTGAGATTTATCAAAATAAATTGAAATCTAGATAGATTAAACTCATTAATATGCTAATTGGTATGAAAAAAAAACACGAAAAGTATTTAAATATTTATATAGAAAAAAAAATTATGTTCACACTACATATGTTTTTTTTTCAAAATTAGCGCATTATTTGACCTTACTATTTTATATATCCATTTTATGAACAGTTGGCTAGAAAGTTTTCAATATTCAAGTTAATATTTTCATTAGAAAAAAAATCGTTATAACGAACGTTTAGACAATTTTTAACAACCTTAGTTATTAAATAATTTACTTAATGGTAGATTTTGCATGCATTGAATAAATAAAATATTTTTTCTAATATTAATTAAGTTTATTTGTAATTAATTGAATACATTTTATAAAACAATTAAGTAAATTTATTCTATATTGAATACAGCAAATTTAGTGTGAAAAATAATTTCTATCAAAATTGTTTTTTTTTTATAAATAGTTATTTAATCGTGCGTTGAAAGTACTCAAATTAATGATAAATTGCACTTTGATTTACAATTTATCATTGACGTAACTAAAAAATAGAGAATTTTATTTAAAAATTAAAAGGTTCGTGCTTTCAAGCGTGTATATCTATATAATAATTATGTTTTTGAGTTGAAAACTTTAATCTCTGATTAAGCTAGTCCATCGAGTATATATAATAAGTGTTATAAATAAGGAAATAAAAATATTCCTAAGTCTTCTATGTCGCAAACGCTCGAGGAAAATATTTCGCGATACACGTGTGTTCGATATAATTCCACGTCTTATCTCTCTTATCAACGTTTTTTTTTCAATATTTTTTTTTCTGCACCGTTTTGCTGCTGTCATTATATAACGTTTGTTGCGTAACTCTTTTTTTTTTGAGAAAACAATACGTAGGTAAGCCCCAAATCGGGATGCCGCTTATGCAATCGATGCGGTGACCACAAAATCTGTGCCACCAATAAAATACGTTTCGCCTGATTTGTCAATGTGTGCTGTCGCTCGCCTCCGTTTTTTTGTGGTGTGTATGTGTTTTTTCCTATTCTCTCTGCTAAACAGATTGTACAAATAGCAAGGTCGAATTGTTAAAGTAAATATAACTGGTGACATTATTCGAACCGTTTGTTCATTTTGTTTTTGTCTCTTGTCTATAAAATTTAATTACCACTGGTTTGCTGGTAAAAGTAGATGGCCGTTAACATCATGATCTGCGGGAGGACAAAAAAAATTTACATTCTAAGTTTGTCCGGAATCGAACTTTCGCGTTTAAGAAATTTTTACTGCGCCCGGGTAAATATTCTCACATTAAATAACAGAACCGTTTCTATTTTTTTTGTTCGTCAACTTAATTTGTTATTCGAGGCGTATTTAACTATGAAATCCTTCTGCCGTGCTAAATGTATGTTTGTTCGTGGTATTAAGACCACAAATTTGATGGCAAATAGTAGCGGTCAACCATCCTAAAGCCATGTAACCTGGATACATTCGATGCTTGCTACAAAAAAAATAGTTTGGAATTATATTACATGTTTGTTAATTACAGATTACGCAAACTAAGATATAGTGTAATCAGGTAATCCGGGCTTCGAGTGTTCGGTTAGATCACATCGTCTGACCCCTAAATCGATTCCAGATAAACAATCAATTTACAGTCGCCTTGAAGCAAATATCGTTAATTGATTTGGCATGGATGTTCATAACTATTATCTCATAATTATCATTTATAATGTAAATATTTGATATAAGTTCACTTTTTTTTTGATAAAAACTGAGTATCTTTACAAATACAATTGCTATAAAATATTTGTTTTATAAATAGTAGTGTCTGGCAAATAATTGAATTGCTTGAAATCTCGGTCGTAATTGCTTTCGAATTACGTCGCTCGTTATATAATTACAGGTGTAGCTCAATTAGAGTAGCAGATTTCAACAACGACGAGCTGCAGTTTACTTAATCTACTAATGGATGCTTCATTGGACGACCTAGTGTTTGTAGTTGGTTTGAGTTAAGTTTACACAACCTACTCGAGAATGTATGCATTCAAGCTGCTCCACGTAAATTAATTGGTAAATAAATAATTGTTGAACTGTGAGAATCGTTTATATTGAGGATATTTGTATTCACGAGTTAACCGTTGATTGTAGTACAGCAATGCCTCGCATAGTACGGCTTCGATCAGTCCGGATTGACTATAGTCCTGCTTGAAAATTTCAAAATAAATTTTAATTATTTTATCAATTAATTGATTATGTATTTTGTTCTTCGAATACTCCGGTTTTAAACAGTCTGCGTTATTGACGCAACCATACTATGTGAAGTAAATTATTTCTGAGCTTTGTCACTTACTTAAAGTTAGTGACATTACCATAATTGGATAAACTACATTTTGACAATTCAGGAGAAATGAAAAAGATATGGAGATTTTACAAATATAATACTTTCATATTAAAACTTTGAAAGAATAAAAGCTCTGAACAACCATCAAAATCTTAATTGGAAGTCGATGTGTCACTTAGATTGATAATAAAGTTATTTAAAATTGTAATCATCAATAACAATCGACCAAACATGATTTCTTTATCTACTGTCAAATTGATATATTTAATTTGTAAGACCTTGAATTACAAAAACAAAATAAAAACTTGATTGTGATACATACAAATATGTTTCATGTGGTATTAAAATATCTACATTATTTTGAATGGTTATTGAGTTTTGGTATTGAGGTCAAATGTTTGCATCAAGTCAAATTATTATCTGTATATAATCAACTAATAATATTTTGTAATATCTTTTTTATCAACAATAATATCAGGAAATGGGTTGCATAATACTATGGTTTTAGATTAGATTTAAAACTGTTTCGCCAAGTTTTACATAATCTATGATTGAGGGTATTATTGTAAATAGGTTTTATTGCTATTATTCTGTAATTACATCTCGCGTTCATCCTTCGAATTAATTAATTTATTTATTGATATCCTTTTTCATTGACGCTTAATATTTTCTAACTTACATAAGAACCTAAATTCAATTAGTGTTAATAGTTTTTAGTAGTGAGAAATAAATAAACTATATATTAGTAATGGAACAAATATTTGTACGTACATATTTGTTTCTCAACCTATGGGTCGCGAAATGACAGCTATCACCTTGTATCAAACCTAGGAAATTGCACTCTTAGCAATTTTGTAGGAAAGAGAGGTTGAGAAACGCTGACATAAAGTAGAAATGTGTAAGGAAATAATCATAAATATGGGATTCGCCGTCCTATTAATTGTATATTCACTTGTATATGTTCGTTAATTGAACACTGATCGAATTTGACTTTAAAATTTGCATTAAATGAATATATTGTAATGTATGAAAATTATTTGTTGCAGGTTCATCATCGCTGGCGACGTACACTCCGAAATCAGGCTGCAGCAGTGAAGAGTTCGAGTTAGGAGTGACAAAATGCAATAATGTTCCTGTGCAAGAGCAGACGACGGGTGTGGAGGAAATCCAATCCGATGACCCAGCAGTGTTGGAGAGCGAGGAACCAGTTTTGTTCAGTTCCGGGACCATTCCAGACATTTTATTTTAACATACATACACACACATATAAATATTTAAAGAAAACGAAGAGAAAAAAAAACAATTTGAAAATTCAATATTATATCATTAGTATATGATTAGTTTATTTTTTAAAGTTTACTATGTATTTTTAATTATTAATTTATTGCTTAATTGTATGATAAAGAAGGATGGAAGAGACGAGTGAAAAAATACGCGAAGAAGAAAAGCAAAAAACATACACTATTAATCACTTTTGTAAAGTACGGAAATATTTTCCTATGATTGCATTTAAAAATGTACTAGAAAAGAACTGATCTTTTTATATAAATATATTTACAATACGCTACTTCTAAGTATTATCTTATATAGTTATACGTGAGGATTACGAAAAAAAAAGCAAAACACGAGGATCTTCTTTTGTCTGTGGAAGAGAAAAACTTGTAACTTGTAAACATGTAATTATGATTTATTATTTGTTTCTGTGTGTTTGGGTAAATTTAGTTTATATTCCTTGTATTTTTTTGTGTCACATTTTGTTCTCTTATTGTATCGATTACTAAAGGATGATGATGGTGAAGAAGAAAACAATGATAAGAATCTTTTCGCTCTATATTATACTGTATATTGTACTGTTTCGTAACATTCCCGAAGGAAACCGAAAGACTGGGAATTGATTTTCAGAAGAAAGAAAAAACAAAACTATAGATGAAAAGAATTTGGAAACTATATTATTTCTATATATATATTTTTTGCTTTACCTATATAAAGAAAGTAAATAACGATGCGCACGTCTTTCAATTAATTCCATCAAACCATCCTCAGAATCGTCGGGCATTCCTTCTTCGCCTCGACAAGAACCTGAATATCTCCATCCAAAGACATCAGCTTGCTTTTCAAACCGTCTATGCACTGATCCAAAAAGAATAAGAAAATAAATAAAATAATACGATGAAACAATGCTTTCTGGATTGTGTTTTCGTCCCAGACGTTACCTTATAGATCGTCTTTGCTATAGACCGGTCCTGAGACATAGAATCCTTCATTGCAAATAAAGCTTTGTGGTCGTAGCCGCAAAGCGTAGCAATCATATCGGTATGTACCGCAGCATCCAAGAGTCCAGTCGAATCCTCCACGGTTATTTTAATACTGTACCCTTGTTCAGATATCGACAATTTTTCAACGATTTTATTGAATTTCGCGTTTATGATGAATTTTCCGCTGTTCACTTTCATTTTCTTGAGAGTCGAAATTGTCTTTATAGGCTTTCTCACAGGCAACATTGACGACGCACTAGTATTTTCTTCTATTTTCCGTACCTTCGGTTGATGCTCTACTTCAGAAGCTCTCATCAATTCCTCGAACTCATCCATATCATCGATAAGAACTTCAGGTTTCGGTACGTTCTGATCTACGATTTTATCTATAGTTTCAAAATCTTTAACATCGAAATCATCATCAAACATATCCGGAGTTTTTGCGCGCGGTACATTTGAATTCTGAAACATAGAATTCTGAACAATAAAACGAATATTGCTGAGCAACAATTATTCTTACACGAGGATTGTTTGTTCTATTGTTATATGGTTGAACTTGTGATTCTTCATTGCGAATTCTTGTATTAACAGTTCCTGGATTCTGAGGCCTTGAAGCTTCCACCCTATAAGAATTCTGCAGAAGAGATTAGTAAACCTAGTTTAATTAACAAAAATATTAGCTAACCTGATTATTTATAGAATTGGTTCCAGTTTGATTTGAGCTAGTATCATTTTCCTTTTGAGTGAAGAATCCTTCCATTGCATTTGGTGTGGGATTCAAGGCAAGTCCCAGCCTTGCAGCCAAGATATTTTCAGCTGCATTAGAAACCAAAAGATCATCAACCTCTCCACCCAACAACTGTATGCTTGATTGCTCCAAAACAATTTGTCCCATCCTTATTGTAATTGGAGCATTCAAACGAACTTTCAGCCCAGGTGATAGATCTATATTTAGGAATGGTATGACATGGCATTCTATGGCAGAGACTTCTTGTGTCCCATCAGTCAATACCAATTCCAAAACCCTTTTTGCTGATGTAGTTTCTGTTGAGTGCTGGCTGTAGGATTTTGGTTTACGGATGGTCATCAATTGATGCAGCTTGGGCTTTGATATATCCACCACATACATGAGTTGCAAACACATGCTTTTGTACAACACAATCCTCTTTTGGTTGGAAACATTGTTTGGTAGTAAATTTAACTGGAGCTCTCTGAAATCCGAATTTAACCATTGTTCATACACTCGATTCTGCAGTTCTTTGACGCAATTGCTTCCAGGGTTCTCCTCTTTATACCACTCAATACAACTCTGCAGCCACTCCTCGTTTAACGTAATATGATGAGATTCAAAGTATTTCTTTACTATTGCAAATTCAGGGATCATTATTTATGTATAGTTGATATTTTGAATCAAATGTAGGTTATGTTTTTGCATTAGAAGTTATCTATACTACAACAAAAAATAAATATAGATAAATTGAATAAACAAATATTTACATAAGAACTAATGTTAGATATTGGTATTTAATAAGTATTTTATAATAGAAAGTATAAATATCATAAATCAATAATAAACAACTCGTTAAAGTTGTTGCCTAAGTAACATTTGTTTTGACATATAACCAAACATTTTGTGGCAGGAAGACATAGCACATAGCTTTATTTAGAAATAAGCATTCAAGTTTTTCCAAATTGATGGCATTTAGGGTGCAAAAATTGCCGGTGAGACGTCTATAAAATATGTTCAAAAACACGTTCCAGAGTGGCTTCCTGTCCATACTCTATAGTATTGGAAGTAAACCCTTGCAAATTTGGGATAAAAAGGTTAAAAATGGTCACATCAAGAGGATCACTGATGAGGATATTCAATCCCTGGTACTTGAAGTAGTTGGCTCCAATGTGAGCACCACATACATAACATGTCCGGCAGATCCAAGGAAAACTTTAGGAATCAAATTACCTTTCCTCGTAATGATAGTAAAGAATTTAAAGAAATATTTCACATTTGAAGTTCAAGTAAGTAGAATTATTTATTATTAATTACAATTTGTTATTTTATTATTTTTTTCAGATTTTAGATGATAAAAATGTGAGGAGGAGGTTTAGGGCAAGTAATTATCAATCAACGACAAGGGTAAAACCATTCATATGCACAATGCCAATGAGACTTGACGATGGTTGGAATCAAATACAATTTAATGTGGCTGATTTTACAAGGCGCGCTTATGGCACAAACTACGTTGAAACGTTACGAGTACAAGTTCATGCTAATTGTCGTATAAGAAGGGTTTACTTCTCTGATAGGCTTTACTCTGAGGATGAATTACCTTCTGAGTTCAAGCTGTTTTTGCCTATACAGAATAAAACAAAAACGTCAGTCTCACAATGTTAGGTACATGCACTGTTTTTTTTATAAATAATTGATCGATATTTTACGTCGACAATTCATTAATTCTTGGCACATGATAGGTGTAATTAATTAAATTAATATAAATAATTGATAGCACCAAACAAATTTTTTAAAGCAATTTTTGCTTAGGTATAATGGAATTGATATCGAAATTGGAAAATGTTATGTACTTGATTAATTTAGTAAATAAATTACATTTTTATATTTCACCAACAAATTTGTAGTTTTTCTATAAGCATCTTTTTTTAAAAGTGATTTGAATTTATTAATGGATGCAAAAGAAGATATTTCAACCAGTGCATTGTTTTATTCTGAATATTTGAGTAAAATTATACATCAATATGTAAAAGAAATGAAATCAAATGATTCTAATTGAAAGATCAATCTGCGATTTATAAAATAATTATATAACGATTTTCTTAAGAATGATACAAATATTTGAAGTTCCGCCACTGCATATTACAGTAAATAAATTAAAATTATCTAATTTGTTTCAATATTGTTAGATGGACAACCAAACGTACGTGTTTATACAGTATTATATATGATAGTCTTGTTATGGACGGTTGTGAAAGAAAAATGTTATGATAGTTAGCAATATATGATAAACACTAAATGTATATCCTTTAATCAATTAATTAAGGCTATATTAAGCCTAATTGAAAAGGTTCATAATTATTTACAAGACAAGAAATTTAGATTTACTTATTGATTTTGTGGTTGACGCTGAAGATGTTCTGAAGCTACTGGATCTCTTTGTTTGATACTAGATTATATTTCACTCTTTCCTAATTAAAATACAATCAAGAAACCTAAACTTGAACAGATCATCTTTTCAAAAAAGCTTATATTAAAACTAATTGAAAAGGACAAGAAATTTACAACATATTTATTTATAACACAAGAAATTTGGATGTACTTATTATTTTTGTGGTTGATGCTGAGGATGTCTTGAAGATACAGGAACTCCTTGTTTGATACTAGATTAGATAATCATATTAAAAGATGTAACAACTGATGGCTTTGAAGTAATTAAGATTTCTTCAGGTTTAAGAAATTTACAATGGGACCACGGGTGGACTCGTGTGATTGTTACCGCACTAAAACCTCTCCCCTTCTTCATCATCATACAGGTCCGTTGTTTTGACATGTCTCTGCTATGCAAATTGTCTGAGCAAGCTCTTCGCTTGTGTGTCCACTATCACTTTCTTCCTTTTCTCTCCCCATCCTCCGCTCCATCCTCATTTTCCTTGATGGAGAGCACCCCTGCTACATGTCTTGTGATGATGTCCCACTTTTTTTGCTATTCAGCAAACTGCAAATACCTAGCAAGATATAAAGATAGCAATATTTATCACAAAGAAATTGCGTATAAGCAAAAAGAGTTTAACCAAAATTGTCTTTTTTCTAACTAAACATGTAATACGGTAGTTGAATCATTTGAGTAAATTGCAAATATTTGCAAAAATATTATAATTCATAATATACCTACCTCTCGTTTTACACTGTACTTTGTTTTACACGTTTTCGTTTTTACGCGGTTAAAAAACTAAATTAAAAAATAATTATTGAAAATAACCTATCCCTTATTTTACACGGTACTTTCTTACAAGTTTTCTCTTTTACACATTAATTAAAGAAAAACATTGTCAAGTTCTCTTGATTATAGGTACTTTTGTCCTTATTTTACTACAAATATATAGTCATACCTCTGTTAGCGTTACCTCTGAGAATTTTAAGCACCATTATCATAATATACAACTTATGAAGAATGAAATAACATAATTAGTTGTCGAAAATGATTATAAAACTTTACTATGTTCGAAAAACAGCTTCTTATTTTTCTTACAACGGGAACGGTTTTGGCGCCCTATACATCACAAATTTTCCGCGTTGTCCAAAGTAAAAAAATTGTTCTTTCTCAGGACGAACTTTATGTTAATTGTAGTTTTTCTTCGATTTTCGCGGGTGCCGACCGAGGTCTTTCCGCCCCATTCGTACCGATTACTTCAATTATTTAAATAATGTTAATTATATATAATGAAAAAAACAGTTTTCAAGAACCATGATAAAACGCAATGTTAATTTTCATAGATAATTAAAAAAATGAAGATTTTCGTAATTGAATTGACTTTTGTTTTCTAACAGAAAAATGTATTATTAATATGTGTTTATTATGATTCGACCATATCAAAACATAGTTAATTTACATTAATAAAAAAACAGTCGATCTTTATTTATCGATACTCAAGGTTGCGAAATCTTATGAATGAAACTTGACAATAACAGATGAGAAACATGCATTCGTTTCGAACAAATTAAATGGCGATATTTGAATTTATTATACTGTTTATTGTCAACCACTTTTTACTTCATTCGTTAAGTTATTTTCCGAATTTCGTGAAGATTGGGTCATCTCGGTTCTTTCAAATTTATATGGTAATCAACGTAGGAATATGTATTAATATGATGCTGTGTTCATTTATTATATATAGACGACGTGTTGACTTAAAATTTCCATTCAAGATTAAAATAATACTTTTAAATGAGATTCAGTCGATGTTATGATTCGTTATATATCTTAATTGTATTATAGCTTGCGGCTTTCGAACGGTTCAGTGTTTGTTACGTTAAATTACGATGCGGCCCTGATGTGACCCATGATGTAAGGTTATCGAGTCAGTTAATCATCAACAAAATCCTGTCGGTATTTTGAATGTCGAGATTTCGATTGCCACCGTAAGGATCTATATAAGTTTTAAGTTAGTTTAGGTTTGTTAATTTGCATAGAATTGATTAGATATAATTTAGATTGAGTTTATTATACCAGTGTTTCTCAAACTTTTTAGTCTTTTGGACATAAAAAGTTTATGTGACCTTCCGAAGAATGAGTATATGTAGAAAAACAACCAGGTTTGATTTGTCATTAATTTTTTGCGACCCCTCAAACATTTTACGCGACTCCCACTTTAGGAATCACTGTATTATACTAAATAAAATATGTATAAGTATGTATATTTTTTTTACATGAAATTACCTGTATTAACATATATAAGGTGACACTTGTACAGTAATTGTATAATAATTTATGTTATTCTATTAAGATAAATATTCGTTTTAGTTGCGTTAATAGTTCTAAAATGTTTTAATTAAAACTAAAGTTCAGTGATACAATGTTCGAAATATAATTTCACCATGTATATGTCTGTCTATTCAAGGTTATTTGTTTGTTGAATTCCAATAGTAGACAGCAAATCGTTTTAGAAATAAACATAGATACAAATTATAAAAAAACCTATACACGTGCAGCAAGTGAATAAAAATGGTATATTTTTTACAACTTGTTTTTTTTTTTAATTAAAAATTATACAACATTTATATTAGTTTATACTGTATTTGTTGGAGCATTATATGCACTTTTTTTACATATAAAAATCTCGAAATTTTGGTGCAATTTAATTATGTTTTTTGTATAGAAGATTCTCGGAATTAGCAAATATGTTTTTTCTTAATCTTAATGTGTGCTCTTTAGTTGAATTTTGTATGAAAACAAGAACAATTAATATTAATTTCAGTATAAATTGTAAACTAACTAATAGACACATTTCTTAAAAAAAATCGTAGAATTTTAGTGCATTTGTTTTTGTTTGGGAAATATTTTTCTTCTTCAATCTAATAATATGACTTAGATCAGATTTATATCAGAAATTATAGTACACAACACATAATATTTCTTTTAATATATATCTTATTTCACGGACTATTAAATGCACTTTAGTACAAAGATTTAGACTACATCTTATGGTCCTCAATTACAAAATGTTTTTTTAAGCATAAACCTAATAATGTGTGCTTTATAGATCAATTCTATATCAGAAATTGATAATTTAATTTTAGTTGTAAAATTATTTGAAGTTTTTATATATAAAATTATACAAGAACAACTGTATAATATACATCATAATCAACTTCATACGGATAGGAAAATTTAGATATATTTTTCAAATTTAAAATAAATACAAAATGATTACCTAATTTTAAATTTAAATAATCTTGCAATTTAATTTATAAAAAAAAATGTTTCTAAAGTTAATGGGAGAAATCTCGCTTTCTGTTAAAAAAATCCATCATTTCCAAATAATTTGGTTTCCGAACATAAATTAGTAACAACAAAAAAACGTATCTTTAATGTGTCCACCGTTTTAAATTTCTCTTAACGACGCAGACTACAAAAATCTCTTTTTGAAAAAGTTCGAGATATTGTCTCAACCCAAATTATATGACATACTGTTGTACAGAAATACCTCGTATAGTGCGTCTTCTATGTTTAATAAATGAATATACAAAGTTATTTTTATACACAGATGTTCCTCGATTAGTCCGGTTTCAAACAGTCTGGGATATTGTTTCAATCGATTGGCGCAGTATTCGGCATAGTGTACAAATCATGTATCCAAGATAGTATTCAAAATGACTTTTATTCATAGAAATTCTACAATTTGTAAATATTGGTTCAACCCGCACTATGTATTTAGTTTCTCGATTAGTATGGTTTGAAACAGTCCGTGACATTGGCAGAACCGATTACCTGCACTATACTTGTACTTTATTTTGGATATACGTAACTTGTACAAATAAATATTATATTCTGTAAGGAATAACATGAATTTAAATAAAATTAATATTGAAGAAATTGAAATAAATTAAATTATTTAAATTATAAATTCAACCTACTTTCACAAATATGAACTTGTATATAACGTAAATGAAGACCAATTTCTAAATACCAACAAATATTTTGATAGATTTGCGTATCATCCTTTAGTGAAAATTTATAGCAAGAACTGAAATGGAAAGTTCAACATAATTCATAAATTGTGTGTAGAATATTGAAGGTCATGTAATAAGTAGTGTATTAGTGCAGCTACAAATAAGAGGTGCATGAACACCATGTTAATGCAATCGTTTAACATTCAATTATCACAGATTTGGGGGAATTACTTTTGAACGGAAGACAGGACTTTTCATCTTTTAACTACAAACTTTGAACACGTAATGTGCACTATTTGTATTCGTCTTGTTTCTATTTTATTTTTACGCTATTTGTTCAATTGATTCGCAAGACGTGTGATTCTGTGATTTATTGCCACCGGAC